TCTGTCTATCTATCAGTCCATCTATCGGTTTGTCGTTTTATCTGTCAGTCTCATCCATCTATCCATCTATCTATCTAATGTCATTGTTCTGTCATTATGTATCTATCGTTATCTAGTTCTATCTATCATTATGTTGTTCTGTCTATCTTTCTATCTAACTATTGTTCTGTCATTCTTTCTATTATTCTGTGTGTCTGTCTGTCTGTCTATCTATCAGTCCATCTATCGGTTTGTCGTTTTATCTGTCAGTCTCATCCATCTATCCATCTATCTATCTAATGTCATTGTTCTGTCATTATGTATCTATCGTTATCTAGTTCTATCTATCATTATGTTGTTCTGTCTATCTTTCTATCTAACTATTGTTCTGTCATTCTTTCTATTATTCTGTGTGTCTGTCTGTCTGTCTATCTATCAGTCCATCTATCGGTTTGTCGTTTTATCTGTCAGTCTATCTGTCTGTCTCAGCCATCCATCCATCCATTGTTCTATCTATCTATCTATCTATCTATCTATCTATCTATCTATCTATCTATCTATCTATCTATCTATCTATCTATCTATCTATCTATCTATATCTATCTATCTATCTATCTATCTATCTATCTATCTATCTATCTATCTATCTATCTATCTATCTATCTGTCTGTCTGTCTGTCTGTCTGTCTGTATCTATCTATTGTTCTTTCATACTGTGTCTGTCTATCTATACAATTCTGTCTGTTCTCTCTGTTTTTCTCTCATAAATCTGTTTATCCGTCTGTCCAACAACAAAAAAGTGCTTCCACCATTAAACCCACCAATTTTGAATACCTGACTTCCAGAAAGGTTCCCTAGTGGTAATTTTGACATTGCTGGCACTCATGTGCACTCATCTCATAAATACGATTTTTCTGACGTGATTTGACGGCAGCATATGTTCAGCCCCTCTTTGTGAAATTGTGGCTCTGGGAAGCCTTTACACAGTCAAGCAGGTGTTGTTTCAGTTACTCTCAGAGATTAGGGTTCAACTAGAGAGTGCCGTTCTAGACCATTAGCTTATTGGAGGCCCGTAGCTTTATTGTGCACTGTTTGTAAGGCTGCACTCAACGTTGTCTAATTTCTCGAAACCAAAAAGAAATTTCGAAGGAAACACATTTATAGAACTCGCCCCTTGACATACTGCGTGTGCCGTCAATCCATTGCATTCTCACGGCGTTGCGCTGAAGCATCTCTCATTGATTGTCCAGAGGAAGACCTTTATATTAACGAACACAGGGGAGAGATATGCTTCCATCCTGACAACAGAGGATGAAATTACATTCGTGTCTCCAAAGACTCTTTCAGTTCGGAAGAACAAAGACCATTCATAATGATAGTCGGTGAGCATGGCAGTGCAATGATCGACTCCAGTGTTGAGGGTTTTGATGTAGTACAAGTCAAAAAGCTTGAAAGTACATGTCTCCCTCTCTCTTTCTGTATGGTTGTCTCTTTTTCACTCAGCAATAGAACTTTTCATCAAGTAGCTTTGGATTTGGTGATGAGATTTGATATCTAGATGACAACAAGTTATATTTTTGTTGTTATTGGCTTTTCAAAATAGCCTCTGTGTTTTGCAAAGCCATGTCCTGATACCCGAAATCTGTCAAGATTGTATCAGATGCCGAAGACTAGCTTGTGCTGAGCTGATGTTCATTGTTTATTTTTGGAAATGCACTTATTTGCATTCACGCAGTATATCTGTCGATGACGTCAAATTACTTTTTTTTTTTTTTTTGTATCACCAATTCTGAGTACTGGGAAAAAAACATGCCACAGAACTGAAAACAGAAAAATTACAATTATGTTTTTGTGCAATGTTTTTGTTCCTTGATTATTAGCAGACCCATATGAATCTGTACCTGCATAATTTTCACAAAATCAAAACATTTAAATTCCACACATGTGTTTTCTTGATTAAATATGTATTATTTTTCATGAAATATTAAATAGTTATACATTTTTAGGTAGTTTTAAATATTCATTTTTGTTTTCTAATTAATATTCATTGCTATTTATTTAATTTTTAGGCTAACTAGATTATGCTTTTAGCTACCAATAAGGCTGTTGTTCTCATTAACACATTTTATTAGGTTTAAATCAGTTCAGCAGAGTTTCACAGTGTCAGAATCAGAATTGTGCCTGCCTGTTTCTTAATATGGGCCAACATAGGCAGATACAAAAAAAATTAAAATAACTTGTACTGTAATGTTATATTCAAAACTTTGCCTCTTTTTTCACAACTTAACACACAAATCCAAGAATTGCACATAATAAAATGCAAAATGCCTCACATCTCTTGCAAAATGAAGCACTGCATTCAAAATATCACAAACCCATCTCAAAAACAAACATTTGCAAATACCTTTGCCATAATATTAATTCCTGTTAGATTGTTGTGTGTTACATAGAGAATGGTGTATTGTGTTTTTGAAAAAAAGTGTTTTATGAAATTGAAAACTGAGGCAAAACCGAGAATTAGTGTATGGTTTTGTATGGTTCTGGTGTTTGAGTGTCAGGTTTCAGAAATTGTGTGACAAGTAAAGATTTTGTGTTTAAGCAGTTGAAAAAACAAACAAAAAAAGTCTGACAGACGTTGTTGCCAAAATTATATTTTTCATATCACACTGGGGTTAGACAATAAAGAAAATGCTTTCCACATGCTTGTTAAACTATAAGAATTAATGAAAACGCAACTTGTTTGTTCACAATTAAACTCCTCAGAGCTCCCTTTGAATTTATGGCCCCATAAATCAATTGACCAATTCATAAATGAATTTAAATAGAGCACTGCAGTGATGATGTGTTTTTTTAGGCCAACCTGGAAGTCAGCATCACCCAGGTTTCCTCAACAAAAACACAGTAGGATTTTTCCATTGGCTTTTGGCTTATTTCAGAAAATACGGTCTGCGGCCAACAAAATATAATAATTTGTTTTGTTCGTTGTGCATGTTGTGTTCACAAATGAACACAATGTTTATACATTTTGAAGCCAAAATGCAACGGCCAGAAGTAAAAAGCTAAATGTAGGCTATAAAGCAACACCGCAGTTGCGAGACTTCAGCGTCACCACCATTAAGCTTCCAACAATTATTTTAGTCTTTATTTTAAAAAACATTTTTCCCTGGAAATTTGAGTTATTATATGTTATTATAAACACGCCGTGGATGCAAAAGCAGATTTATGAGTGGATGAGTTCACCTGTTTGGCGTGATGACATTTAAGGTCTCCAAAAACCTCTCTAGTCCCATTTAGCCACTTGTTAGCACCTGCCTCATTCAAGACAAGTAAAAGCTTTAAAAATCACAAGGGGTATTACTGGTCTATTTTAAGTCATAGAATAAAGCGTGAAAATATATTGCGCTTGTGTTAACCACAGAAACTATTTCAGGCATTTAACCAAAAACCCATTCAAAAACCTATTTACTTCAGTGCCAAAATGCTAACTCATTCATGGGTTTTGGCCTGAAAGCATTTGTTTTGTTCGTTGTGCATGTTGTGTTCACAAATGAACACAATGTTTATACATTTTGAAGCCAAAATGCAACGGCCAGAAGTAAAAAGCTAAATGTAGGCTATAAAGCAACACCGCAGTTGCGAGACTTCAGCGTCACCACCATTAAGCTTCCAACAATTATTTTAGTCTTTATTTTAAAAAACATTTTTCCCTGGAAATTTGAGTTATTATATGTTATTATAAACACGCCGTGGATGCAAAAGCAGATTTATGAGTGGATGAGTTCACCTGTTTGGCGTGATGACATTTAAGGTCTCCAAAAACCTCTCTAGTCCCATTTAGCCACTTGTTAGCACCTGCCTCATTCAAGACAAGTAAAAGCTTTAAAAATCACAAGGGGTATTACTGGTCTATTTTAAGTCATAGAATAATGCGTGAAAATATATTGCGCTTGTGTTAACCACAGAAACTATTTCAGGCATTTAACCAAAAACCCATTCAAAAACCTATTTTCTTCAGTGCCAAAATGCTAACTCATTCATGGGTTTTGGCCTAAAAGCATTTTTTTTGTGAAGAGTAACAACATAGCTGTGTAAAACAGGGACCTTGTAAACCCTGTTAAAGAGGGATGAAATAAAATAAAGACATAATAAAATGAATCTATGCTTGTTTAGAACTTTTATTTTCTGATGAAATGGAAAAGCTGTCAAAAACGTAAAAATTAGGCACCATCATCTCTCAGCAATCAGTGTTTTTGAGCACTATTGTCTCCATCATCCACGAACAATTTACTTTATTTAAAAATTGCTATTGATTTGACTGCGTTATCTATATTCTTTCAGATGATGGAGACTCTTATCATTGTCTCCTATGATTAGTCGTAATATAAATAAATTGACCTTATTCCTCTAGGAGCAAAGCTTATCTCTTCCTTCCATCCAAACCTGTCAAAGCATGTTGGTCTTTGAGTCTTTACCAAGAAGTAGTTCGTTGACCCCTCAGACATGTTGCAAACTTCAAAGCTGCACTTTGCTGTGGGTTGTTATATCTCTCACAAGAAGAACGCTATCTATCTCTCTGCTCACTTCAAAGGGAAAGGTTATATGTGCAGCAAATGCTTCCTGCCCACTGTTATTACCGAGGATTTCAGTTTGATGCAACATCCCCAAAGCCAAACTCTCTATTATTTTTATGATGTAAAATGACTCGAGTAATTATGGCTGGGAAATTGACTCAGCCAGTTTCATTGTCTGTTTTGATACCAGAATTAATTAGAATGTTCTGTGAGTAAACTTCAAAGTCCTTGGGATTGCTTTTTATGAAAAACAGTAAATAAGTTTCTCAAAGAGATGAAAATCAAACGGTCACTTGGCATCTGAATCCCCCTGGGGTCTGTCTAGAAATGCACCGGCTACCAATTATGTGACTTATGACTCATGCGTCTTAAATGGTGCAACCACCATTATGCGAGAGAATGTATGCGAGAGAAGCACTTAATCTGTTATCTGTCTCTTTATGTTCACAGGAGAGCATGCTGTAATACGTGAAGATGCGCCAGAGGTCGTGGCTCTTTAAATGGTTGGGAATCGGCATTGGCGTTCTTCTGCTCACCGCTGCTAGCTATTCTGAAGATTCAGATGGTAAGTTCTCCCTCACAAATTTTCCTGACTGTCTGGCATCTTCAATATTCCTGCTTTGGAGCGATCGAATTTAGATGATGATATATGTGTTTTCCAAAACTCATAAGATTGCTTTATAAACTGGTGAGCTGCCTCTGTAGGCACACTCCTGATGTTCCAGAAGGTAGGCAGCATGAATATGAAGCATTTCAGAATGCATTGCATCAAGCTCAGTAAAAAATAAATAAATATGGCACGCAATGTGAGAGAAATGTTGATTAGAAATATAAATAATTAAATACTGAAAAGTAGCAGTAAAATGTGATTCATTTCGGAGAGGCGCTTGTGTATTTTTATGCTTATTAGAGTAAGTTGTTAGTTTAGTAATATGCTAATGTTAAATTATTGCATCAGCACCATGCTTCCGAAGTTCAGTAGTACATGGAAAGGTAGTTTACATATAAAAGTTTGCATATGCAACATGAGAATTTTAAGGGCAGTTCTGTTATTGTTTTTAAACAAGAATCATGCCTAATGAATTATGTATGAGTTTTTTTTTGTTTTTTTGGTTTAACTATAGGGTCTTTTGTGGATATGAAAATGTAGGTGGTGGAAATGACTTCCTTAGGCTAAATTTATAGCTGTCATTTTCATTTTTAATTTCACAGCTACAATAGACAGTTATAATTAGTTTGGATATAAATCATATTCACACTGTAAATGTTACAATCTTTTCATCACATTTAGATTGTCACAGTTTTAAATACGTAATGAATGATGTTCATTATGAATTTTCATATCTCATGATTGAAAGTCTGGGCCGATGAAACAATGGGGAAAATCTGTCAATAAAAGTCACTTTAAAAGTTGCAAGATGATTCATGGTAAACAACAAAAAAAAATCCCGTTTAATGTGACCTTCACATGATAAAATTAATTAGTAAGTAAGTACGTACGTACAGATAATAAGCAAGTAAATAGCTACCAATGATATACAAAAGTGTCTAAAATTTAAGAAACATGCTAAAAAAAACATACTGTGTGTAACATTGTAACAGTCAATGTATGTGAACAGTTTGTGTGTGTGTGTGGGGGGGGGAGTACAACCCCCGCAATATTTATGCCATGGTTAATGGAAACCATTATTATTACCATTACAATTATTTGAATTGCGCCTTCAGCAATTTTAAGCAATTTTATAAGTGCTAACTTTACTTATGAACCGAACGGAGCAGTTTTTCAGCACAATATGACTGAAGCGCAGTTCATGATCAGCGTGCGAATCACTGTATACTCTGCGTGCGTTCACCAGTGCGCTCGAGAAGTGTGATAAGATTTGCACGAGCCACTCCTATCGCAAATCTGATGGTCAAATATGAGATCTATTTGAATTATTTCGAGAAACAGCCACTTTAAAATGCTAAAAAAGGCAAATAAACTAAAAAGACTTATGAAAAGAGGAGAAAACCAGCACTAACATATATTAAAATCGTTTTAAACTAGGCCTACTCATGACCACCTTTACTAGAATTTATCACGTTTTATTGTAGGCTTATTTATTGTGTAAATCTGTGTCTAATCTGTTAAGGGAATATATTTTCTCTATAGATTTTTATTACTACTGTGGCATGTTGTCGCTATTGGTTCGAAATGTGCAGGCGGTTGTTTCTTCATAACAAATGCTATATTGATTAATTACAATGTTCAATGTTCAAACCAAAATTACATCCTTGTATGTGAATATAACACAGGCATCAGCTGTTACAATGTTACACACTGTTTGATTTTTTGCATCGTCACTGTATCATATGCATTGCTAGTAGGAAATGTTCACCTTGACTTGGGCATGGCAGTATGATAGAATCTAATTTCATGTAGGAAATTTGCACAGTAGACCCTCTTCTCACTCAATCTATGATGACGCATATCCTTTCACATTGGACACCACTGGAATTTACTGTATTTCCTTTGTGTTGCTTAGATTTGCGCTTCCTAGTGTTTTATCGATGTAGCACACTGATATGAAAGTGGAGAAATTCTATATATTGATCCTTCACCTGCAAAGAGTTGGAAACTACTTTTTCATTCAGTCTTCAATTCAGTAATCTTTCTTTTATTTCTCTTGAACACACTCTATGTATGTAATTTTTTGGGAACACAGATATTTTTTCCTCTTATCTATTATCTATTATATAGCGTTATGTTATTTATTTATTTTATATAGAACATAAAATATGATTTTTTTTTAGGGAGAACTATTGTTCTCACAACAGTAGTTTATAGTTACCATTGCCATCAAGCCCCAAAAATGACAGATGGGCACCATAAGGTAACATAAAACTGGCATAAATCATGTGTGAGCTATATTAAAGTTTTTTTTTGTCATAAAACTGCCTTGTATGGAAAATAGACCAACATTTTTGGGACCAATATCTTCCTCTCCAATGAGCTGTCGCCTCCAGAACTGCTAAATGAATCATTCTTTTGAGCTGGTTGTCAATGAATCGTTTGAATGATTCATTTTCATATTGAACTGATTTGTTCCTGATTCTGACTTAATTGTACAGTCTATGTAGTTCTTAAGTTAAGATCTCACTGTCAGGGAAGATCACCAGTACATTTTGACTTCAGAAACATGAAGTGTTACAGACTATGTTTATGGTTCTTTTGGTGTTTATTTATCAGAAGCTTGTTAGCCTGTATAACTAAAATATATTGCCAACAGTAGATGGACTCCTCCCTTAATGGTTTTGGAAGCTGTACAATGTTTTAAATCTTAATGCTGCACCAAGCAGTGACATTCTGGAGAATTATGGGCTGCCAACTTTGCCAAAGGGCACTTTTTGGCCCTTTTCTTTTTGTGCCCAAAGTGTAGAAATGATCTACTCTTTGTCCTCACCCAAAATGACAGGAGTAGCCAAACTCGAACTGGAATTGGCCGTACATTGTATTACTTCAGCATCACTGAGCCATACATTTACCCTACAGTGAGTATGTCTGGGTTGAAGACAATTTGCGTTTGACCTCCAGGTTTAATGAAGATAAAGGATATTCCAGACTGAATATTGATTTATTGGTTCCAATTGTAAATGGATCTTTTAAAGGAAATTGTAGAGATATTTACCTCTTGCATTCGTATTTAGATACACTAATTCAGTCTCTGCAAATATGGCAATAGTTCAAGGTGAGATATGGAGCAGTGTGGTAGTTAAACCCATGTTTTGAATGTTTGAGGTTAATTGCATTGTATAAATTGCTTTGAAATATACAAAGCCCCTAATGCTACATGGTGATAAAAGTAAAATTAGTAAAAAATATTTTAAAGCTTTTGCATTCTCTCGAAATTGTGCATTCCCCCAACAAACTTTGCATTCACTTGCAAAACGTTTGTGATGGAAGTAATATAAAGTGGGAGGAATGCAATACAGTATAAATATACAGTAGATTCCAATAGATACCAGAACTCATTCAGCTTGATAGCATCTTTAGAATCAGGCAAAACCAACAGTGAGGATCATTTACTGTCATGCTGTTATCCTGAGAGCAGACTCTATTTTTTCCTGACTTTATCTCTCAAACGATCTTTCACTCTCATGAGGTTCCTGTCCATTACAAGGAGGTCTAGAGAGAGCTATCTCTAAGCATTCCCATTCATCTCGATGGCAGTAGCTTGGCTGGCATATTATTTAAAATAAATGCCTAATTTTCCATTGAGAAAAATGCTTTTTAGAGCAGGTTATTTGCAGCTGCTAACAGCACCATGCTAAGCAGCTCAACCTTGACCTTTTGGTCCACTATGTTTTGATTCTATTAGATTTTGCATGTTCTCTGGTGGATTCTTACCCCTGAGGACTTGAACTGAACAGCTGACACTTCCCATATTGCAGTGTGGCTAACAGGCTAAAGTTGATAGTGGAGTTGGCCTCGTATACTCTATTCTCATTTGAACCATGACCACTAGAGTTCGACAGTCCAGCTTCCCAAGTGCTTGCTCTCTCTCGCCCCTGAAGATTCAGATGTGCCCGCTCTGTTCAGGGACACGGTTCAGCCAGAGTAGGTCAGCTACGCATGGTGTCGACTGAATGCTAACTAAGAACAAGGCCAAGATTCATTCCAAGAAATATAATCTCATCCATTTTTCATCAGGCTGTACGAATTCGCAGCTCAGACATGCTTCATCGCTAAACATTTCAGTGGTCATTAGAATTTCAATAATGTTTCCCTTCAGGGACGCCACACGATGTGAGTCAACATGCTTATATTGTATCAGGTCAGAGCTGTTCATAATACATAATATGCTGCAGACCCATTGGAGTTGATGAGAGATTTTTCAATGCAAAAGAGGTCAGTCTTCATATAAAGACTTAAAAGTAATTTAAAGTAAATTTGGCTTGTGGTTAAAAGTTATGGGATATGTAATGAGCAAAAAACAGTCCATTATTGTATGTGTGCCATCACTGCAGTGCTCTCCATATCGTCCTTCCAATCACTGCGTCCTGGAATGCAGTAAAACCCAGAATGGTTTCAGTTAAAATTAGAAAACACTTATTCAAACTTTTGTACTATCTCATTCAAAACAAATTAAATTGATTGGAAGTTTTTGTCTTCACAATTATTTTCTGCCGAGCACTGTGACTTAAGCACAAGGGCAGATTGATGTACAGGAGACGTGAAAAGGGCCGGTCAGCAGACAGTAGTGAATGGCTCCCGGTGGGGACATCTATCCCACTCAGAAGGTAGAAGTTCAGATCTTTGACCTTAGCTGTGATGGATGTGTCCCGCTGGACAAGCAGCCATGTGCTGCAGTGTGTTGACGTGGATGTCATTCCCGCATTGCACTGTCCTTTTATTGTTCTGGAGTTTCTTCAGAAACCCTGGGGCAGTAAAACCATTTACCAGAGAAACTCAGATTCCACAGTTCAGGGACTACTTTTAGAAAACGCAGGGTGTCCAAGGGCCAGTGAATAAAATTACCTGGTAAAAATAAATAACACTAAATGGTCTGTCAATCTGTTTGTCTG